AAAAAGTTAATTTTGTATTTTTTATAAATTATAAATTAGTGAATATTAGTATTGCTTCCTCGTGGAGAAAGTGTTTTTATATTCTGAATTTTTTTTTGTTAAACTAACTTTATAATTTTTCTAATATATTTTTACAAAAATTTTTTATATTTAATCCTTTTTTTATTTCAGATATTAAAAACATCCTATTCGACTTACAATTTACTGAAGAATAGTTAATAATCGGATAAAAAAACAAAGAATGCAGAAAATAAATCGAAAATAGATGGTAGTTTTTTTTCGAGTAAAAATTTTTAAGTAGTTTCTCAAAAACTATGACTTTCTTATTCGTCACATGTTTTCATTTTAAATTCTTTTTTATACGAAATCGTTTTTTACTTTTATACAAATTGTTTTGTTACATGTAATCTCATATAATTATTCATTATTCGTTATCTTAGAACTTAAATTATTTTAAATTTGTTATTTATTAGTTATTAATTACTGTAGAGGAAATAATAGAAATTATAATGGATTTAACTGAAATTGTCTTTTACTACCCACTGATTAAATTTGTTTGAAAATTTTCACTGTATAAACTTTTCGTTCACCTGACTAAGCGGACTGTTTTTTCTAAAAAAAAAAAAATTCGAAAAAATTGAACTGACTATTCACTCAGATAATAATCTGCTTTTAAGTTAGTAAGCTTTCTGGATATTTCTAAAACAAAATTATAAAAATAAAATAACGAAATTAAATAAAAAATTACTGCAAAGTAAAAACACTGGGGATATAATAATAAAACATGAATCGATGAATTAATTTAGTTTTAAAGTTGAAACATTAAAGAAACAGAAAGAAAAAATTAAAACAACAAACGAAAAAAGAAACAAAAATAACAAACAAAAAAATAATAAAAAAACGAACGAAAAAAGAAACAAAAATAATAAAAAAAAAACAATAAGAAAAATAATAAAATAAATTAAAAAAGTAAAATAAATAAATAAAATAAATAAAAAAAATAATAATAGTAATAGAAATAACAATAAGAAACATAATAACGAACAGAAATAACAAAAACAAAAAAAAATAATATAAATAAAAACGAAAAAATGTACAAAGCTCAACTGTCGTTGAAAATTATTTCATCAGCTGGCTATTGGCGACAAACTGATTGGTCATCATTTGCTGCAGTATTTTTGTACAATACTTTTAGTGTGTTTATGTTATTTTTCGCCTACTCGATTCAATTGTCATTACAAAAATAATTTTAATTCAAAAATTTAAAACAAAGATAATTTTATTTAAAAATTAAAGAAATAATTTTTCTATGTAGAAATCAAAGAAATGATTTTTTTTATTCAGAAATAAAAGAAATCATTTTTCTATTTTGAAATAAAAGAAATAATTCTGTTTAGAAATAAAGGAAATTTTTTTTGTATTTAAAAATAAAACTTGTATTAACAAAAGGTATAAAGTAAATTAATTATTATTGATTTAATGGAAATGTAAACTTTCAAAATTCAAAAAACAGACACAAACTTTTGAGTCCAGCTGACAATGAGAAAAATTTTTACTACTGCAATCAAAATTATATTTAAAAAAAAAAAAAAAAAATTAAATACGTTTGTCTGACCAAAATAATGTTTTACTACTGAAAGCAAAGAGCGAAAAATTTTAATTATTTTGACTGGAAATTTACTTATAAATTTACTATTGGAATCGAAATTATAAAACAAATTAAATATGCTTGTCTGACTAAATTAATGTTGTACTACTGAAAAAAAAGAATTAACAATTTTAATTATTTTTACTGAGAGAAATTTACTTTAATTATGCAGCACATTTTTTTTATGTAAAAAGTTAAAAGAAAGTAATTAAAATTTTAATTTTAAAATAATTTTGTCTCGTCTAAATTGACTTTTACTACTTAAGCAAATAGTAAGCAAAAGTCAATTTTCACAAATTTTATTGAATTTCACACATAAAAATAATAAAAATATATAAATTTTACTCAGAAACAAATTTGTTCATAACTAAGGACACAGTGACTTAAAAGTAATATATCGATAAAAAATACTTTTATAAATTAATAGAGAATTAAATTTTTTGTTTCTGACTAAAATAAATTCGAGAATAAATTTCCATTAATGAAAGTAAAGAAAGGACATAAAGGCAAAAAAATTGTACACACAAAATAATTATTCTACGACAATAATATTCTCCTTATTTATTTTTCTTCTTCTTTTTAAATAGAAAATTAATCTTTCTAAATTTTTCAATATTCAAATAAACGAAAAATATACTATTTAAAATTTCTCTTAAAAACTAAAAATACAAGAAAGAAAAGAACTTATTAAAATTAAACATTTGCTTAGTTTAGAAATTAGAATTAATTTTTTAGTTTACAAAATAATGTATTGCACATAAAATTTTAACAAATAAAAAAAAATCGTTTATTTTAATATTCAAAATAACATGAAAATTATCGAAACAAAAAAAATTGAAATTCAACAAAATATTTTTTGTAAATGAAAAAAAAAAATGCGAATATGAGTTTTTGCAGAAGGAATACATGGCTATTTTTAATTGGAAGTTTTTTTACATTGACGGCATTAACATGTGGTGAATTATCAAGAGGAAGTAATGCTACGTTACCATTTAAATCTTCAATACCATATGACATTAGTAATAGAAATTCATTTTAGCAGACCAAATAGGCTCGAGTTCTCGCCGAATGCGTCAAGCATCATAATTACATCTATCTGCAAGTATAATATTTTTATTATTCAAAAATATTTTCATTTCTTATTTTATTTTTATATCATTTTTTACCTATTTATCATTAATAATTTCAATTTTATTAATTTTTTCGAAAATATTCAAAATCGATTTTTTTTCCTTACTTATTTATTATTTATAATTTAATTTTAAAAATAATTTATTTTCTATTTTCTAGATTTACAGTTTTTCTGCGGATATCAAATTGAGACAAAAAACGTATCAAAATTGTTGCTCGTTTTTTGTCACAATTTGATATCCGCAGAAAAGCGGTGGATTTAAATTAACGAAATTTTTCTTTTCGTCAATACGGAATTTATTGATTTATTAAATTACATAATTAATAATTTGTCGATAATTTTTAAAATTAAATTTAAAATAAAAATAAATAAAAAAATTTACAGATTCAGTGCGTGAAATTCAACGATATTTTCAATTTTGTATTTGGAATGCAATTCATTGGATATCAATTTTGAATATTGGAACGATTATCTACAGTTTATCGACGAAAAATACATTCGATGAAAAAGTTCTCATCCAGGGATTAATATTACCGAATATTTTAATTCAAAATTTTTATCTATTGTATTTTTGGTAATGAAGTTATTTTAAAAGTAGGTAAAAATTCAAAAAAAATATATAAATTTAATGAAATAAAATAAATAAAAAATATAAATTAAATATTTTCTATTTAGAGTTTAAAAGTAGCGGACGTAATTAGTATGATCGATTGGACAATGTTGAGAAGACAATCAAAGAAAGGACTTCTTATGATTGCAATGCGTGCAAGAAATCCAATAATAATCACCGGTGGATCACTCATTTCCATGTCACTCAATACTTTTGTTACTGTGAGTTCAATTTTTGTCGTTCAAAAATTAATTATTATTTCAATAAAACCAAATTTTATCAAATCGTTTATTATTAGTTTAATGAATAATAATTATAATGAAAAATTATTTTAATCAGATTTTACGAGCGTCTTATGCCTCGTTTAACTTATTAAAATCATTAAGAACGGAGTGATTGTTTTCGAAAGCTTTACGAAACAAATCGACACTGAGAAAACATTATACTTAAATGAAACACAAAAATAATGTTAGACGATTTTGTTTAATTGAAATTAGTTTGTAAGTTTAATCTCAATATATAGAAAATATCTATTGCATTGATTCAAAAGTATTATTTGTTTGAATAATTATATTTAATTCAAACATATTTTCTGTTTACGGTTTAAACAAAAATTATGTTTAAAAATTTTATGTTTGAATCAAACTTAAAAGTTGACTACAGATAATTTAAAATCAATCACAATTTATGTTTGATTTCAATATATAATCTCTTAAACTGAACCAGAAAATATCTTTGAATTAAACTTAAATATGTTTGACTGTATAGCAAAGATATTTTAAGTTTGATTTAAACAAAATTTGTTTGAATCAAATAATTTTTTTTCTCAGTGGAACGTTCTACTTTTAAAGTAGTAAGTTTTATAAATTCTATTATTAAATATCATTTCTCTTTGACAAAAGAAAATAATTATTCCCTAGAGATATACATTGTTAGAAGCTTAATAATAAATTTATTGCAAAAATTAAAGCGCTCAGTGAAGAATTATATAACGAGAGAAGTATTTAATTATAGCATTTAATAATAAAAGAGTGAGTAGAGTTAGAAATGCGAATGTATTATAATATGCAGCTCGTACGTCGCAGCCCGGAAGAAATAAATAATGAGTTTAAATACTTGGTTGACGATCCTCATATTATCCCTTTCTTGCATCGAAAAAATATTTTTATTATTAGAAAGAATCGTTTTCATTGGCATTCGTGGACTATTATTATCTAATTATTATTAATAGAGGGAAGGGTGGAATAAGTAGAAAATAAATTGCTTCGTTTTGCACTCGAGGAAGAGGAAGTAGTCGTTCCCCTTGCATACTGAAAATGTGAATTTTAAATTTTAATGTCAATGCGCAACACGAACGACAAGTAGCGAGGACACTGAATTCACTCCCTTTGTACTTGAAATAATAATTCTTCTTTACTGCCTCATAATTTGAAAATTATACTCCAGCTACAATTAATATTCAAGTTCAAAGGCAAAATAAAAAAAAAATATTTCCAAAAGAAATTGAGAAAACTTTTGGAAAAAAATATCGAGAGGGAAAAAAAATATTGTTAATTGAATAATTAATCGACTTCTTTTTTTTTTAAATAATATTAACAATTGTGAGAAAAATGTATAAAGGACAAATTTCGTTGATAATTCTCTCAACTGCTGGCTATTGGCGACCAATTGGTTTCTCATTTTTTGCCGTTGCATTTTTATACAATATTTACAGTATTTTTATGACATTTCTCGTTTATTCCTTTGACATGTCTCTGTACATGTATCTTATTCTACATGCAATCAACGATATCGACGATTTCTCCGAATCATTGTGTTGGTTCCTATTGAGTTTAGTCGTTTGTGTGAAATTAACAAATTTACTCATCAAACGAAATGAAATAATTGATTTAATAAATATGATGGATATACATTATTTTTCACCGCGCGATCATGAGGAGGAGGCTATTCAACAAAACTATGACTATATGTCTAGGTCAGTAGATTTAAAATTATATTTTAAAAATTAAAAATTATTTTCATTTGATTTCACTTAATTTTAAAAAAAGCTTTTACTTTTGAAAATATAGAATTTTCTGTTCATTTTACTAAAGAAGACTGATACTCCAACGAAAAAAACCTTCCTGGCCGACTAAAATTGATCTTTACTACTGAAACTGAAATAATTAGAATTATCATTCTATTAGTCGAAATTCTAATTCTAATTCTAATTTGGTGAAATGAATTTATAGTCTTATAAAAATATCAAATTTTCCCAAACTTTGGATTTTTTCTGATGTTAATTAATTTATATTACTAATTAATAGTGCACTTAAACATAAACGATTATTTAAATTCTTGTGTCTGACTGTGTTTGACTTGAACTACTGATAACCGAACAGTTTTTAATTGTCTGACCAAAATGGTCTTCTACCACTAAACGACGATACATATTCTTAATTCTATTACTTGTCTGACTATAACGTACTATTACTACTGAAATTATTAAATTAAAAAAATTCTTAATTTCTATTTTTTAACAGTTTTTTTACTAATATTTTTTTTCATTAATAGTATTTATTTAGTAGTACTATTTATGCAATGTCGATTATTTAAATTAATGTCAAACCTGAATTTTTGCATATAAAAAATTGCGATTTTATCAAATTTTTTTACAGAAGAAATACAATGTTATTTTTGATTGGAAGTCTTTTTACAATGACAGCACTGACGCTTGGCGGATTGGCAAGAAGTGATATTATATTACCATTTAAAACCACATTACCATTTGACAATGACGATAAAATTATATTTTGGCTCACATATGTCGTTCAAACTTTAAGTATTTACAGTTCAGGTTTAACAAATGTTGGCGTCGAAACATTAGTCATGGTAATTATGCTTCAAATTTGCTGTCAACTCGAAATAATTTATCATCGTCTCGAAGAAATGACACAATTGAATCTCAATGACGAGAGTTCGTTAAATTTTTCAAAAACCAAAGAGGCTCGAATTCTCGTTGAATGTGTCAGACATCATGACTATGTCTATCTGTAAGCACATATTATTATAAAAATAATTTTTGAAAATTATTATTATCATTACAATTATAATAATTAAATTAAATATTATTAATTAAATATTAAACTTAATTAAAATTAATCTTTTTATTATTTTATTAATTAAGAAATTAATAACACTTTTGATACATTTTTTGTCTAAATTTGATATCCTTATAAAAACGGTTATTTACTGAAAACTTTTTATTTTATTTTTTCGAATTTTTTTCACAATTTTTTACTTTATTTTTTCAAACTAAATTCAAATAAATTTTTAAATTTTACAGATTCAGTGAAAGATTGAATGATATTTTTAGTATTGTGTTTGGAATGCAATTTATTGGATCGATAACAAATATTTGCACACTTATTTACAGTTTATCGACAAAAACTACAGTCAATGACAAAGTTCTTGCCCAGGGTTTACTCCTGCCAAATATTTTATTTCAAACTTTTATCTACTGTCTTTTCGGTAATGAAGTTATGCTAAAAGTGGGTAAAATTGCTAAAAATGTAAAAATAAAAAATTTCTTTCCAGATTTTACATAAAAAAAAAAATATTTTTGGGAAAATATTAAACCAATTTTTACTATTTTTATATTAGAAAAACTAAATTCTGTCATGGATTTTTACTAAATTTTTACTAAAATTTCTTTCGAGAATAGTTAAATTTTAAAGAAGAAAATTTGGTTTTTATTAAAAAAACCCCTTGACGGAAAAATTTATTTTCATTATTTTCTTAAAATTTGAAAAAAAAAATTTGAAATAAACTGAAATAAAATTGAAAGAAATAATAATTTTTTAATTTTCTATTTAGAGCTTAAAAGTTGCGGACGTAATTAGTATGATGGATTGGACAATGTTAAGAAGACAATCAAAGAAAGGACTTCTCATGATTGCAATGCGTGCGAGAAATCCAATAATTATCACCGGTGGATCACTCATTCCCATGTCACTCAACACTTTTGTTACCGTGAGTAGTTCAATTTTTTCATTCAAAAACTAATTTTTATTTCAAATAAAAACAAATTTTATCAAATCATTTAATTTGTCAGATTTTACGAACGTCTTATGCCTCGTACAACTTATTAAAAAATTCCAGAGACCAGTGACTGTACATTCTCAATTTAGCATGAATTAAGAAAAGTATCAATAAAAATCAAGTAGAAAATGTAGTCGAAAATTGTCGAAAAAAAATGTTACGGCCGAACTCCGTAACCTTTTATATTTAAAAATAATCATTTAAAATACGTCATGAAACATAATCACAAACAACATTTCGCATGATACGAAATTTTGTAGATAACATCACAAAAACACTTACAAAAAGAACAACCCTTTGTAAATTCACTAAAAGACATTCTTATCTTTGACATTTTTATCCAATGTGATCTTAAGCAGTTTATTTAAATAATGATTTAATCCTAAAATTATAAACAATTCTATTCAATTTATTATTCCCCTGAATTTCACAATTCTGAGGTGAAGAACCTTAAATATAAGTTACACTATTTCTCGGCAAATTCCCTTTTTATTGGCAAACAGTTTGTTGACTTTCTTGGGAAATCACAGGGAGTTGTCGAAACCAAATTCCTTAATATAAGGAGTGGTGTATCCAAGTCATTGAACTTCGATCATACCACTGCCTAAATCTGCAAGGTTGCAGAAATTGACTTGACAACAGTCGAGTGCAATGAACTTTGCTTACGATTTCCCCACTAAATCGTCGTTCAATAAAATTGACCGACACGGGGAAATCAAGGCAGTAATTAGTCGCAGGTCGTCGATACCTGTTGTTTTTTTTAAGCCGGCAATCTTTAGCCTGGAAAATTCCTAAGTCCGGCCTGTGAGCCGTGTTTTAAAAAAAAAGTGAAGTTCGGGAAAAGATAATCCCTTTAAATAAAATCGAGAAAATCAATAAAAGTTTGGGAAGAATAAGTGAATTTTAATTGAGAATAGAAATATAAAAAAAAATAAAGATAAAAGAAAGGTTGGATTTAAAGGTTTTATTGAAAAATAATAAAAAGTGACGAGAAAAAGAATAAATTAATTAAAAGAGGATATTAAAAATAAAGTGAATTGAAAAGTAAATTTATTGAAAGGAATATAAAAGAAATAGAAGAATTAAAAGAGCTTATTGAAAAAGTCTAAATTCAACAAAATAAACTAAAAGTTATTTTCATTAAAAGAATTAAGGGAATATCAATTTAAATATACCTTTAAAGACAACCTTCCTTTTCGAGGTTCGGTCTTCAAATTTTTGTGTACTTCAAAAAGGAATAAAAAAAAAGTGAGTTAAGCAAATATCATTCTAGTGACCCTAGAATTGGTATTTCATCAATTTCGGAAGTTAATGTCAGGAGAAAACAGAGAGAAGAAACTCTCATCAAATTGGATTAAAGTTGCAAAGTAGAATCTCTAAACAGTGAGTAAAAAATATCACATTTCATATCACATTTTCTGAAACTCAATCACACACATATACACATATACACTTCTACTCTTTTTACACATTTTTAACAAAAATTAGAATATTTGTATTAGGGATTTTTGGGTCAAATATATCATTGTTTGTTTTTATCTCTAATTTTTGCCTTTTAATTTAAAAATCCTGTCCAATTAACCTATCTTCTCTAAATTCAAAGTATAGGATTCTCACCCCTTGGTTGAACTAATAACCAAGAAGAGGGAAGAATCCACTACTTATACGATTTTCGTCCGAAGGACACGTTTAATTGAAGTCTATTTAAAAATTTGATAATATAAAATTAAATTTATTTAATTTTTCAAATTCGGCTCTAACAAAAAATTCTTCTGAATAAATTGTTTACTTCTTTTTTTCCATCTGTTTTTTTTTTTTATAAAATATAAATCATATTTTTGTCGAATCCTTTTTTTCCAAACCAATAAAAGATTTCTTTTAATCTTCGCAAAAAAAAAAAAAAAATGTTAATCAACCTTTACTCCAAAAGAAAGTTTTCTGGGAATATTTCTTTAAAAAAAATTTTGTTTCGAATACAAAAAATACTAAAGCGAAATAATACTCTCTAAATCTGAGTCAGTCGAATTTTAGTTAAAAACACTAAAAACAAATTGAATTTTGGAAAAGTTACAAATGATTCCAGAAATTCAATTATTTTCAAAAGTTATAAAAATTCTTCGCAGAAATTCAATTATTTTCAACAATTTAAAAAAAAATTCTTCTCAAAATTTCAATTATCTTTATAAATAATAAAATTCTTTATTGAAATTCAATTATTTTTAATTTTTTAATAAAATTCTTTGCAAGATTTCACAGGAATTCAATTATTTACAAAATTTTTAATAAATTTCTTCGATATAATTCAATTATTTCCATAAATAATAAAATTTTCACAGAAATTCAATTATTTAAAAAGATTTTTATAAAATTCGTTGCAAGAATTCAGTTATTTAAAAAAATTTAACTACGTTCTTTTCAAGAATTCAATTATTTGTATAAATAATCAAATTCTTCAACGAAATTCAATTATTTTTATAAACTTGAATAAAATTCGTTACAAAAATTCAATTATTTATATAAATAATAAAATTTTTAACAGAAATTCAGTTGTTTTTATAAACTTGAATAAAATTTGTTAGAAGAATTGAATTATTTTCAGAAGATATAAAAATTCTTTGCAGAATTTCAATCATGTTCAAAAATTTTTTAAAAATTTTCATCAAAATTTTAATTATCTTAATAAATAATAAAATTCTTCATCAAAATTCAATTATTTTGAAAAAATGTAATAAAATTCTTGGCAAAATTTCACAGGAATTTAATTATTCAATTTTTAATAAATTTCTTTGAAATAATTCAAATTTTTTAAAAAGATTTTTATAAAATTCTTCGCAAGAATTCAGTTATTTAAAAAAATTTAAGAAAATTCTTCTCAAGAATTCAATTATTTTCATAAAATATAAAATTCTTCACCGAAATTCAATTTTTTTTGATAAACTCGAATAAAATTCTTTGAAAGAATTAAATTATTTTCAAAAATAATAAAATTCTTGGCAGAAATTCAATTATGTTCAAAAATTAAACAAAAAATTCTTGCCTAAATTTCAAGTTAATAAAATTCTTGAAAAAATTTTAATTATTTTCATAAATAAGAAAACTCATCGCTGGATTTTAATTATTTTTGATACAATATTTTTTAATCGAATTCCTCGAAAAATGTAATTATTCTTAAAAATTTTTTATTAAAATTTGTCAAAATAATTCAAATACTTAAAAATTTGTTGATAAAATTCTTTATGAGAATTTAATTTTAACAAACATTCAATTATTCGGTAAATTATTTCTTTTTTAATTTAAAGAATAGAATTCTTCTAGAATTTTCTAATAAAAATTAATTAAAAAATAAATTACCGAATAATCGATGTATTATTTATGAAAATAATTGAATTCTTGCAACCAAATTTTACTACTTTTAAAAATAATTGAATTCTTGCAAAGGATTTTATTACGATTTTTGTAAATAATTAAATTTTTTTTGAAAAATTATATCAGTCAGGAAAAAGTCTGGAAATCAGGGAAAAGTTATGGAACAATAAAATTAAATATTTGTGGCAACCCTGATAACGGAGAAGAGATTTTTTTTATTTATAATATTTTTTTATTATATAGCACATGAAAAAAAAAATAAAACAAATGTAATGAAAGAAAATTCAAAATTAAAATTAAGAAACTTAATATTTCGAAAATTAGATTTATATGATTCTATCTTAAATTCCACCAGAAGAGTAAACTTCAAGAGTTTATAAAGTTATACTTTGAAAAAAAAGGATTCAACAAGGTATTTTTCTTTTTATTATGCACCCCTTCGTACGGATTCTCAACAAAAAGGGAAACATGAAAATAATTTATGATCCAAATGGAAATTATTGTGACTGCACGCCACCTGTTGAATTACTTATAAGCAAAACTCGTAAAAGAGAGGAGGAATATAATTCTGAATGAAAAATATTTCTCAGTCCAGTGAGAGCTCTCATTGAAAGCAGTTGAACTTGAAGTAAATCGAAAAAATACTATCTTTGATATTTTCTTCTAAATATTTCTTTATTCACTATTCAGTTAATAGCGGAAATAAATAAAATAAAAATAAATAACGATTTATCTTTGTCATTACAGACATATTGTATAAAATTTTGTAAAATTTTCTTCTTTATGAATTTATAAAAAAATATGTAAAAAAAAAAAAAAATGTTGTCTAGTGTTTCATTTAGTGTGTTTATAATAATTGGCATGTGGAGACCATTATCATGGACATCGAAGTCGAAAAAAATAATTTACAATATTTACATTTTCATTTGTGTGACAATTTACACGTCGTTTATGTTGCTTCAATTATTATATCTCTCGAGTATTAAAGATCTAAATGAATTTACTTTTTGTTTATTTTTTTTCACCGCCACAATATCAATATGGGTGAAAATGATAACAATTATTTGTCGGCGAAAAATTATTTTAGACACCAGAGAAATTTTTTCAAATGAATTGTGTCAGCCGAAAAATTTGTATGAATCGAAAATAGTTAACAAATATTTTCACATTGGCAGGTTTGTGATTCTAATTTTGTTTTTCTTTTAAATTAAATATTTAATGTAAATATTTTTTTCCAGTTAGAAATTTAAATTAAATATTTAAAGTAAATATTTTTTCAGTTAAGGATTTAAATAATTTATTTAAATTTTTAAACACAAAGATAATTAAATAATTAAATACAAATATAATTAAATATTAAAATTATTAAATACAAAAAAAATAAAATATCTAAATTTGGTTTAAATATAATTATATTTGACACATTTTATTTTTGACTTTTTAGAATCATTACCATTTTTTTCATAGTAATAACGATCGCAAATGCAGTGTCACTGATACTGACTCCATTGACGAGCAAAAATAATATTTCATTTCCCCTAAAAATGTTTATTCCATATAGTTTGGAATCGAGTGGAATTTTTTTTGCCACTTATTTATATCAATCTGTTGCAATAATAATGTCGGCATTGATAACAAGTTCCGTTGAATGCTTTGCATTGATGGTGATTTTAATAATTTGCGGTCAATTCGAAATATTTGTTTATCGTTTAAATTTACTGGCGACAATTAAAAGGAATAATAAACTCAAATCTAGTGTTCATGAATGTGAGGAAAAATTGATCAAAAATTTCGTACGACATCACAATTGTATGTATTCGTAAGTTATTTATAATTTCTAATTTTCTATCATAACAAAAAGAAGAAATAGTAAATAAATAATTTTTTCTACACCATGATTTATTAATAAATTATTTTTCTATATAAAAATTAAAATAAACAGACTTGGAGTGAATATGAATAATATATTTGGAACAATGATTTTTGTACAATTTTTCTCCTCATTAATACAACTGTGCACAACGATATTTCAAAGTAGAATGCATTTCAAAAATCATGATTTGTGGTCAAGATTTTCACTCTTGTGTACATCATTTTTACAACTCTACTTGTACTCATTCTCAGGAGAAAAAATAATGGAAAAGGTAATTTTTTTATGACTAAAAATGTAAAAGAAAAATATTAATTTTCTGAAAATTAAATTTCAACTAATCGGAATATTATTTTTTAATTAATAAAATAAAATAAAATAAAATAAAATAAAATAATAATTACAGAAATATTATATTATTAAAATAAATGACAATAAAGAAGTTTTAATTATTCTGTCTGATTGAATATGTTTCTTACTACTGAAACAGTGAATTCTAATTAATCAGTGAAATAATTAGTTAAATAAAAGAATAATAATGTTAATATTAAATTAAGTAACAATAAAGTAATTTTTATTACTCTGTCTGACTGAATATGGTTCATACTACTCAAGTGTATAAAGAAAATTTTCCAAACATCGAGCAAAGAAAACTTTAATAATAATTTTTATATTTGATTTAGAGTTCATTGATTGCAGGAGAAATTTATCAAACGAAATGGAACAAGTTAACAAGTCGCTCAAGAAAAAATCTCATTTTAATTATGATTCGTGCTTTGAGACCAATAAAACTAATGGGCTCGTCTATCGTCGTTATGTCATTAGACACGTTTGTTAAAGTTTGTATTTGCTAAACTTTTCCAAAATAAAAAAAAAAAGAAAATAAGTACCTACTTTGAAATGATACCTTAACGATAAAATGAATATTTATTCTTGTGTTTTAAATTATAATTATTTTTTCAGGTTGTAAAATTATCATTCTCTACTTATAATCTATTAATCAAGTTATGAATTTTTCAATATTACTCCCGACATATGATCTATTGAAAATTTCCAAGTTACTGGAGAAATTAAAAATTACAAACTCACCTAAATTTTCTGGTTGAATATTTCATTTTGAAATTGCAAAAATTTGTACCAGTAACAGAAAAAAAAATAAAAATTAATTTTAGAGCGAACAGAAGAAAAATGAAGTAATTATTTATTATCTATAATTTGTATTTAATAGTAAATAAATTTTCCATCTATTTAAGTAATAAATAATAGGCGAAAAGTAAAAAAAAAACTATATTCACAAAATATATAAAAATGGGAAATAGAAATGTATGTTATTAACATTTTACTATTTAATTATTTAAACTATTGATATTGAAACAGTAAAAAAGCAAAAAAAAAAAATATTCATTCATAGAAAAAATATATGTAAGAATTATGTATTTTTGTTATTTAATTCGTTGATTGACAGAAGTAGTAGTACGTAAGCAATACAAAAATAAAAAATTTTCATATTTTACTAGAAAATAAATTTGTCTGACCTAAAATTGACATCCACTACTTCGACAATACTACCACTACTTCGCACATGAATATAAAATTTTGTCAATTTGAATCGATTTATAATAGTTAAACAGATTTTTAGTGGAAAAAAATAGACGGAACATTTGTCTGACTAAAAAGGATTTCTACTACTGAAAATAATGAGAATTTTTACTAATTTTCATGACTAAACAGATTTGTACTAATGATGAAAAAAAACAACATGAACGTAAACTGTGTTTTTTAACTAATATATATAGACTTTTAAAAATAGTTCTATTTTTCAGATTTTACTAGCGTCCTATTAAAGTTATTAGAACCAAGAAATACAGGAAGTTTTCTAAATAATTTTATTAAATAATATTTCCCTTTCGTAATTAAAAATAATTATTCTCCAGAGATATACATTGTTAAAACTGTAATTATAAATTTATAGCAGAAATTAAAGCGCTCAGTGAAGAATTATATAACGAGAGAAGTATTTAATTAAAATTTAATTCATTTAATAATAAATACGTCTGACTAAAATTGACCTCTACTACTGAGACTAAAATAATTTACAATCACTTTTTGTTTAATTATTTCTGCAAAAAAAAAAAATTTCTTCGAAATTATTTTCTACTTTACATATTTATTTTCAAATAATTATAATCACTTCGACAACAAAAAATTAAACACTTCAAGGAAAAAAATATGTCTGACTGAAATTGATCTCTACTACTGAAACTAAAATAATTTTAATCATTTTTTTAATGATCCCTTCTTCAACAAAAAATTAAAAAATATTTCAAGGAACAAAATATGTCTGACTAAAATTGATCTCCACTACTGAAACTAAAATAATTTATAATCACTTCTTGGAAAAAAGGTTAAATACCCCAAGGAACAATATGTGTCTGACTAAGATTGAACTTTACTACGGAAACTAAAATAATTTATAATAACTTCCTTCGAAAAAAATTAAATACTGCAAGGAAAAAATTTCCCTGACTAAAATTGATCTCAACTACTTCAAAAATAAGTTAAATTATAAATATAATAAATATAAAATAAATTTTACTGAATTTTACTAAATTTTACTAAATAAAACTAAATAAAACTAAATAAAACTAAATAAAACTAAATAAAACTAAATAAAATTAAATAGAACTAAATAAAACTAAATAAAACTAAATAAAACTAAATAAAACTAAATAGAACTAAATAAAACTAAATAAAACTAAATAAAATTAAATAGAACTAAATAGAACTGAATAGAATTAAATATAACTAAATATCCAAAAAGTAATTCATAAAAAATGTAAATACCCGAAAAATAAATATTCAAAAACTAATAAATTTCAAAAATGAAATATTTTGAGAAACTAACTATTCAATAACTAAATAATAAAAACTTAATATCAAAAATTAACCATTGAAACCTAAATATTAAAAAACTAAATATTAAGAAATTAAACAAAAAAATTAAAGATTAAATCAAAAAAGTACTACGGAATAAAAGTAATTATAAAAAGTAATTACAAAAAGTAATTACAAAAAGTAATTACAAAAAATAAAATAGAAAAACATAAGTACAACATTTTCAAGTACCAAAATAAAATACTACGAAAAGAAATGACAAAAAATTGAATAAAAATCGAGAATGAAAAAAATTTTTCATCTACTTCTTTTTGTTCTTTCATTACGAAAATTACGAAAATTATTTTTATTTTCCTAAATAATCGCTATAAAATGAAATTTATAAAAATGTTCACTAATTTGAATTAGTGACTGACTTTTTGTTTTTGAATTGGTAAATTTTACTAATATTAATAAATTGTCATTTCTACTAATTTATTTATTGATATTTTATTAATTTAAAAATGACTTTGGTAAAATTGTAGTTTAGAATTAGTCAATTTATTTATTTTAAAATTACTTTCGCAATAATTTCGTTTAGAATTAGTAAATTTTATTAATAAATAGTAATTCTCACTAATTTATTTATTAATAATGTTTTATTTAGTTATTCATTTAGAATTTATATTTTAATCGAAATTTACTTTAGAATTAGTAAAATTTACAAATTAAGAAGAATAAAGTCAGTCGCTAATTGAAATTTGTAAAAGTTTTTACAGATTCAAATTTAGAGAGTAAAATCATAATTTTCTTTTTAAATTGACAAATATTGTTTTCGATATGCAAAAAAAGGGAAATTATCATGTTCGACTTTGAGAAATTAAAATATAGAAGCAATTAGCAGACTTCGCACTCGATAATTAATTTTAAAAAAAGTGGCTTTTAAACTAAAAAAAAGTAGTAAAAAATTAGCTATCGAAAAATTAAACTTGACAACCAAAAAAAACTGACAAAAATTTCATTATTCTATATTTTATTTTCCTGACTTTCTCCTAATTTTCATCAAAAATATTTACTTCCTTCTTATCCTGCTAATAAATTAAATTCCTGCAACGAATTTTATTATTCACAAAAAAATTAAAATATTTATGAAAATAATTTAATTCTTGAGAAGAATTTTATAAAAAAAATTTAAATAATTGATTTCTCTCGACTAATTTTATGCAAATTCTAATGTAAATCATTTAATTTCTGAGAAATTTTTATTATTCATGAAAAGAATTGAATTCTTACGAAGATTTTTACAAAAAATTTTTAAATAAATGAATTTTGTTTGGAAATTTGATGAAAATAGTAGATATATTGAAAATCATTAAATTGCAAAGAGTTGTTAAAAATAATTAAATTTTCAAAGAATTCTATTAAAATTTTTGACATTAATTGAATGGCTATTAATTTAAAAAAATTAATAGAAATGTGAATAAAATTATTAAACAGAAAATATTATTTAAAATATCTAATTATATTAAATTGAAATTTTTTATTTAATCATTATTTGAGATTTGAAAAATATTAATAAAAAAATTATATTCAGGTTTTGAAGTCAGCATTTTCAGCTTATAATTTATTAATAAATCTCTAGGTGACTGAAAGGTAAGTTTTTGGCAATTTTTGCGATTTTTACGTATTTTATTTTAATTATCTAATTTTTTTTCCTATCTTATATTGAACTTACAATTATTATTATTAATTAATTAATTATTATTAATTAATTAATTATTATTAATTTTTGTACTAAACAATATTATTAATAATTGTATCTTACTTGTTAATGAGGGTCCGATGCACCTTGGAAAAAAGCTATGATATGAGCCATGATATGTTTGAATCACAAATAAGCTACTTGTTAATGCATTGACTATATTTTTACAATTTACAGATCGTTTTTTTTTATTTTATTTTTAGAATAATTTTCCGTATTCAGTATAATTGTTTTAATAATAAAATACAGTGTTACTGCTGAATTATTTCAAAATTGTGAATTATAATTGAAAATTTACCTGTAACAGAAAAAGAGAATGAAAAATAAATTTAAAGGTGAAAGGCAGAAATTAAACAATAAAATAATTATTTATAACATTTATTTTGTATTTAACGACAGATAATTATTTGATAGTTCAAAATTTTAAAGTTCGGGGGTTCTAATGTAGAACATTTATGTAGTAAATTTATTGTGTATTTATTATTATTATTTTTTATTTATTTAATATTTAATTCATATTTATTTAGTTAAAAATTAATTTTTTCAATATAAAAAATTTTTATATCAACTAGTTTCATTATATAGAAATATTTTCTATTGAATAGAAGAGATTATTTTCAGGAGAATGATTCGATCTTTTCATTGTTCGAAAACTAAATTTATCACAAGAATTGTAGCGCTTCTTAAAGAAATGAATAATAAAATACAAAGAAACGTTGAAAATGTGACTACTGTGTAATATGCAGCACGTATGTTCGCGAACCTAAAGAAATAAATAATGAGTTTCAATATTTAGTTGACGATTCTCATAATGTCCCTTTTATGAAACGTTAAAAGTTTAATATTAGAAACAACCTATTATCCAATTATTATTCATCTAAAGTAGGGTAAAATAACGAGAAAATAAATTGTTTCGTTTTATTCTCAAGAAAGAGAAAATAACCACTCGCCTTATGTACAGTAATAGAAAATTTTCAGTTTTAATATCAACTTGTATTTTGTACCATGAACGACAAGTAGCAAGGAAAAAAATATGTCTGACTAAAATTGTCCTCTACTACTGACACTACAATAATTTATTTTAATCACTTTTTCTATAAAATAAAATAAAATAAAATAAAACTTTTCCATAAAAAAAAAAATTAAAAACTTCAAGACTTTATTTAATTATATAATTTTCAAGATCGAAACAATATATTTTCAAAAGAATAGAAAAAAAAGTTGAAACAATAATCGAGAAGAGACAAATATTCTTCATTCTGTAATTAATTAACTTTTTTCCAATAATAATTGACAAATTAAAGAAAAATGTACAAAGGACAAATTTCATTGATAATCCTATCAACCGTTGGTTTTTGGAGACCGATTAGTCTCTCATTTTTTGCCGCCGCATTTTTATACAATATTTACAGTATTTTTATGACATTTCTCGTTTATTCCTTTGATATGTCTCTCTACATGTATCTTATTTTACATGCAATTAACGATATTGATAATTTCTCTGAATCATTGTGTTGGTTCCTGATAATTTCAGTTGTTTGTGTGAAATTAACAAATTTACTATTCAAGCGCAATAAAATAATAGATTTAATAAAAATGATGGATAAACATTATTTTTTACCACGCGATCATCACGAGGTGGTTATTCAACAAAACTATGATCATATTTCTAGGTCAGTAAAATTAATTTTTTTTAAAAAAAAAACTAAAAGTTTGATTAAAAAAATTAGTTGTATATGTCTGACTCAAAACTGTTTTTACCACGGCGGAAGCTTTTATAGAAAAAAATTACATGCCTGACTAAAATTGACCTTTACTACTGCGAAAAATAGGATAAAATTAAATTAAAAAGCAGAATTTCTTTTTTAATTTAAAGAATTGAAAAAATTATCTACATAAATGTCTGACTAAATATTGCTTCTACTACTGAAATTATAGAATAATTACTACTTATTTTACAAACTGAAATCGATTTTTATTTTTACTACTGAACATTAAAAATTTGTTGTTTGTCTGATTGAAAAGAGACTGTTTACCCTCAGGAAAACTAAAATTTACCTGCACTACTGAAGATATAGTAATTAGTATTATAATTTCAGTCTCTGACTGGAAGACGAATAAAAATAATAAAAATATAAAAAGTAAAAAAAAAATAAATAAAATTTAATTATTTGTTTCAAAATTATCAAAGAAATAATTACATAAATGTCTGCATTAAAATTGTTTTTACTACTGAAATTGCAAAAGTAATTTAAATGTCTGAATAATTAAAGATTTCTGATGGGTCTGACTAAAAATTGACTTTTACTACTGAAAATATCGAAGTTTTTAATTTTTTATTCGTCTTTAAAAAAGAAGACTGTTACTCTAACGGAGAAAATAAATATGTCTGACTAAAATTGACCTCTACTACTGAAGCTAAAAATAATTAGAATTATAATTTTAACTATTAGTTATTAAAAAAATGTCCGACTTAAAATTGTTTTTACTACTGAAATTGTAGAATAATTTTATGTCCAAATTATAGATTCCTGACGGGTCTGACTAAAAATTGACTTTTACTACTGAAAATATATAAATTTTGTTAGTCTGACTAAAGTACTCTAACAGAGAAAACAAATATGTCTGACTAAAATTGACCTCTACTACTGAGGCTAATAAATTCTAATTATAAATTAAATTAAATTCTAATTTTAAATTAAATTAAATTCCAATTATAAATTAAATTAAATTCTAATTTTAAATTAAATTAAATTCCAATTATAAATTAAATTAAATTCTAATTATAAACTAGAATTATAAATTCTAACTATTAGTCCTAATTTTAATTATTATAGTCCTCTGTTTGACGGAAAGAACATTTTATCACCGATATTAAAATTCGCTTAAAAAAAGTGTCTGACTTAAAATGAACTTTCCCTACTGAATTTAGAATAAAATGAAAATAATATAATAAAGAAGGAAAAAATTACATAAACTCTCTAAATTTGAATCAGTAAAAATGTTTACTAATTAGAATTAGTAACTGACTTTTTGCTTTTGAATTAGTAAATTTTACTAATAATTTAGTAGAAAAATGACTATTTATTAGTAAAATTTACTAATTTAAAAGCAAAAAGTCATTCATCAACAAAACACAATTTTTCTAAGCTATCAAATTAAGACAAAAAAAAAATCAAAATTGTTGCGAAGCAACATTTTGATTTGTTTTTTGTTTCAATTTGATATCCTTAGAAATACTGTGAAATTATAGTAAAAATTTTTACTATTTTTTAAATTTTACTATTATTATTTATTTTACTATTTTACTTACTAAAAATTTTTACTAAATTTTTTTTTATTTTTTAAAAATTTTTTACTAATTTTTACACTTATTTCAAGACAAAAAAAAAAAAAAAATAAAAAAAAAAATAAAAAATTATTTTTCTTTTCTAAGGGAAAAAAAAATCTAGAGGTCTGACTGAAATTTACCTTTACTACTGAAGTTAAAATAAAAACAAATCCTCTGGGCTGTTTTTTTTAATGCTGACCGAATAGGTTTAAAATTCAAAATCAGATAATTCGAATTTATAAAAATTTTACAGAAGGAATACATGGTTATTTTTGATTGGAAGTCTGTTTACATTGTCGGCACTGACACTTGGTGGATTGACAAGAAGTGAAGTTGTCTTACCATTTAAAACTTCCATACCATATAAAACTGATAATAATAAAATTATATTTTGGCTCACATATGTCAGTCAAAGTTTAAGTGTTTGCAGTTCAGGTTTCACGAATATTGGCGTCGAAACATTTGTCATGGCAATTATGCTTCAAATTTGCTCTCAACTCGAGATTATTTATCATCGTCTCGAAGGAATGACACAATTGAATCTCAATGAGGAGAGATCGTTAAATTTTTCACAAACCAAAGAGGCTCAGATTCTCGTCGAATGTGTCGAACATCATAATTATGTCTATCTGTAAGGAAAATTTAATTTTTCTCTTATTAATAGTGAAAAATATTATTAATTAGAGCAAAATTAAATTAAAATTATTCTTATTCAAAGTGAAGAAAAATTTAAATATAAATTTACATTTACAGATTCAGTGAAAGATTTAATGATATTTTCAGTATTGTATTTGGAATGCAATTTATTGGATCAATAACAAATATTTGCACACTTATTTACAGTTTATCGACAAAAAATACATTCGATGATAAATTTCTTGCTCAGGGATTAGTTTTACTGAATATTTTATTTCAAACTTTTATATATTGTATTTTTGGCAATGAAGTTATGTTAAAAGTAGGTAAAAATGAGAAAAAAAATTAAAAAAAATTTTTAATATTATTTTCTTTTATAAAAATCACTTGTCCGAATATATGAGACTATTATTTTCCTAAAGTCTGAAATAATTTTACCTGATTATTATTAAAATGTTAATAAATATATTAAAAATACTGAAATATATTAATTAAAAGCAAAAATTAATTTGATTTTCTGTTTAGAGTTTAAAAGTAGCGGACGTAATTAGTATGATCGATTGGACAATGTTGAGAAGACAGTCAAAGCTGGGACTTATCATGATTGCAATGCGTGCGAGGAATCCAATAATTATCACCGGTGGATCAATGATACCCATGTCACTAAACACTTTTGTTACTGTGAGTAGTTCAATTTTTTCATTCAAAAACTAATTATTATATTTAATATCATTAATTTAATAAATTTAATATAATTAATATTATATTTTAATAAGAGAAACTTTTATTAAATCATTTCATTTGTCAGATTTTACGAACGTCTTATACCTCGTACAACTTATTAAAAAGTTCAAGAGTCTAATTCACTTTATAATGTGACATTATCTGAAATAAAAAAATACAAAAAAAACAATTTAGATAAAATGTAGTCTACAATATTTGAAGAAAAAGAATCTTATGTTAATAGAAATATTGTATAAAATTTTGTAAAGTTTTTCTATTCTATGGATTTATAAAATAAAATGTGTCATGTGAATTATCATTATTTTTCTTTTAACCACATTTTTATATATGGCTAATTTCACGTGAAAATTTTCTATGACATTCGAAAATTGGTTAAATATATTTTTTTTTCTCCTTCTTTATATAGAAAAATATGAGATACGTATTTTTTTATTTTTGTAACTGAATTATTCAAAAATAAAAAATTTTTACTCAAAATTAAAAAAAAAGGGGGAAAGAATAAAATCTACAAACTCACCTAAATTTGAATATTTCATTTCGAAATTGTGAATTATAATTTAAACTTCACCTGTAACAGAAAAAGAGAATGGAAAATAAGTTTAAAGGTGAAATACAAATTAAACAATAAAATAATTATTTATAACATTTATTTTGTATTTAACGTCAAATAAATAATATTTCAAGTTATTTAAATAATAGATAATAAAAAAATGTACATAAAGTATATGTAAAAATAGGTATGTATGTTAAATATTAACTTTTTATTATATAATTAGTTAATCGTTCCAAAGTTTAAACTTTAAAGTTCGGGAGTGCAGAACTAGTGCAGAACATTTATTTAGTAAATTTATTGTGTATTTATTATTATTATTTTTTATTTATTTAATATTTCATTCACATTTAATTTAATTATAATTTACATTTATTTATTAAAAAATTAATTTTTTCAATATACAAAATTTTTATATCAACTAGTTTCATTATAGAAATATTTTCTATTGAATAGAAGAGATTATACTGAAGAGATTATACTGCCTTTTTAAAATAAAATTAGCAATTTTAAAAATAATAGAATTTTAAAAATTTTCTATAATTTAAATTTTTGTTGAAAACACTAAAAAAAAATCAATTTTGGAGAAATTACAAATAATTGCAGAAATTCAATTATTTTCAAAAAAAAAAAAAATAAAATAAAATTCTTCTCATAAAATTCAACTATGTTCAAAATTTAAAAAAAAAATTCTTGTAAAAATCCCAATTTTTTTAGAAAAAATAACAAAATTCTTCTCCTAAGTTCAATTATTTTCATAAATGTCAAAAAAAATTCTTGTCCTAATTTTAATTATTTTCAAAAATCAAATGCATTTTTCTAATTTCACCTCCAACAAAAAAAATTGTTATTATTATTATTATTATCATTTTATTATTATTATTTATTTATTTAAATTTAATTTCCATTTACTTAGTTAAGAATCAATTTTTTCAATATTAAAAATTGGTATATCAACTAGTTTCATTATAGGAATATTTCTCTTGAATAGAAAAGATTATTTTCTGGAGAATGATTCGATCTCTTCATTGTTCGAAAACTAAATTTATCACAAGAATTGTAGCGCTCCTTAAAGCAATAAATAATAAAATACAATGCAACGTGGAAAATGTAATGCAACACGTACGTTGCGAACCTGAAGAAATAAATAATGAGTTTCAATACTTAGTTTGACGATCCTCATAATATATCTTTCATGATTTCGTGAAACCATGTTAAATATTAGAAACAACTACATTCACCGTCAACTATTATTATCCAATTGTTATTCATATGAAGTAGGGTAAAATAAGCAGAAAATAAATTGTTTCGTTTTATTCTCAAGAAAGAGAAAATAACCACTCGTCTTACGTTCAGTAATAGCAAATTTTCACTTTTAATATCAATTTGTATTTTGTACCATGAACGACAAGTAACAAAGACACTGAAATTAGCTCCCTATGTACTTGAGAAAATAATTCTTTTTTACTGCCTTAAGAAAAAAAAGTTTTTATACAAAACAATTTGTAATAAAATAAAATAATAATTACACAAAATTATTATTATGAATACAGCGATAAAAAATAAATCTCATAAAAAAACGTAAACGAAAAAATATTCTTCATTCTTTATTTAAATAAGTTTTTTCAAATATTAATTGACAAATTTAAGAGAAATGTACAAAGGACAAATTTCGTTGTTACTTCTATCAATTGCTGGATTTTGGAGACCAATTGTTTTCTCATTTTTTGCCGCTGAATTTTTTTACACTATTTTTAGTATTCTCATGATATTTTTCGTTTATTCATTTGACATGTCTCTCTATGGGTATCTTATTCTACATGCAATTAACGATATCGACGATTTCTCCGAATCATTGTGTTGGTTCTTAATAATGTCAGTTGTTTGTGTGAAATTAACAAATTTACTATTGAAGCGCGATAAAATAATTGATTTAATAAAAATGATGGATAAACATTATTTTTCACCGCGCGATCATCAGGAGGAGGTTATTCAACAAAACTATGATCATATTTCTAGGTCAGTAAAATTATATGGTTTACAAATTTTTAAAACTATAAAAATATAAAATATTCTGTTACAAAATTAAAAAGAAGGAAAGAAAAAAATAAAATAGCAAAATTTCTGTGCCTGACTAAGAAAACTTTTGACTACTAGTGGAATATGATTTTTGTAGTTTAGGAAAAAAAATTATAGGTCTGACTAAAATTGACCTCTACTACTTAAAATAAAATAAAAAAAATTATAAAATAAACGAAAGATTATTTTTTCAAAATTCGAAAAAAGAAGAGAATTACGTTCCTGTATTGCTACTGAAATTCGAAATTAAAAATTGAAATTTTGTGAAATGTTAGAACAACCAAAAACTTATAAGGTCTGAATAAAACCTACTTTTACTACTGGATATACATAATTTTTGGTTCGTCTGACTAAAAAAGTCTGGTACAACTTTAACGAAAAAAAGGCCTGACAAAAATTGACCTCTACTACTGAAGCTACAGGAAATACAATAATAATCACACTCTTTGACTGTAAGAAAAATTAACATTCAAATAATTAAAATATATCAAATAAAAAGAAATTGAATTAAATTAAAATTATTCAAATCTATTTCTTTTAAATTCAAGACAAAAAAATAATTTACATAACCGTCTGAATTAAAATTGTTTGACAACTACTGAAACTACTCCTTGAGTAGCAGAGTAAATAAAATAATAAAAATAGTAAAACAATCGAATAAAAAATTATTAAAGTAATAAAATCAGAATTTATTTTTTAAAAATTAATCGAAGGAAACAATTATAATCCAAATTAATCAATTTTTTTACAGAAGGAATACATGGTTGTTTTTGATTGGAAGTGTTTTTACATTGGCGGCACTATCACTTGGTGGACTGACAAGAAGTGAAGTTGTATTACCATTTAGAGCCACATTACCATTCGACAGTAATAATAATAAAATTATATTTTGCCTCACATATGTCAGTCAAAGTCTAAGTCTCTACAGTTCAGGTCTTACGAATATTGGCGTCGAAACATTAATTATGGTAATTATGCTTCAAATTTGTTCTCAACTCGAGATAATTTATCATCGACTCGAAAGTATTAATCATTTGAATATTAATAACGAGGATTCGTTAAATTTTTCCCAAACCAAAGAGGCTCAAATTCTCATCGAATGTGTCGAACATCATAATTTTGTCTATCTGTAAGGAAAATAAAATTTTTCTCTTATTAAAGAGAAAAATATGATTAACTAAATCAAAATTAAATTACCAAAAATTATTCTTATTTAAAGTGAAGAAAATTGAAATAGAAAAAACATTTGTCATTTACAGATTCAGTGAAAGATTTAATGATATTTTCAGTATTGTATTTGGAATTCAATTTATTGGATCAATAATAAATATTTGCACACTTACTTATAGTTTATCGACAAAAAATCTATTGGATGATAAATTTTTTACACATGCAGTAGTCTTACTGAATGTTTTATTTCAAACTTTTATATATTGTATTTTTGGCAATGAAGTTATGTTAAAAGTAGGTAAAAATGAGAAAAAAAATTCAAATAAAGGTTTTTATTATTTTTGTTGTTTTAAAAATTACTTGTCAGTATAAATTAAATATTTTCAATTTAGAGTTTAAAAGTAGCGGACATAATTAGTATGATCGATTGGACAATGTTGAGAAGACAATCAAAACAGGGACTGATATTGATTGCAATGCGTGCGAGAAATCCAATAATTATCACCGGTGGATCACTCATTTCCATGTCACTCAATACTTTTGTTACTGTGAGTTGAATTTTTTTATTTAAAAACTAATTTTTATATTTAATATAATTAATATTATATTTTAATTTTAATAAGAGAAAATAATTAATATTTATATTTTAATGAGAGAAACTTTTATTAAATCATTTCATTTGTCAGATTTTACGAGCGTCTTATACCTCGTACAACTTATTAAAAAGTTCAAGAGTCTAATTCACTTTATAATGTAACATTATATGAAATAAAAAAATAACAAAAAAAAACAAGTTAAATAAAATGTAGTCGCAACTGTTTTTTTTATAATAATTATTCTTTTAATAAAAAATTTATTAAGAGTACTACACTTGTCAGATTTTACCAGCATCTTATTTAAGCTATTAGAACTAAGAAGAACAGGAAGTATTCTGAATAATTTTATTAAATATTTTTCATTTAGAAAAGAAAATAATTATTCTCTGGAGATATTTTTTATTATTAGAAAGAATCGTTTTTATTGGCATTCGTGGACTATTATTATCTAATTATTATTAATAGAGGGAAGGGTGGAATAAGTAGAAAATAAATTGCTTCGTTTTGCACTCGAGGAAGAGGAAGTAGTCGTTCCCCTTGCATACTGAAAATGTGAATTTTAAATTTTAATGTCAATGCGCAACACGAACGACAAGTAGCGAGGACACTGAATTCACTCCCTTTGTACTTGAAATAATAATTCTTCTTTACTGCCTCAAGAAAAAATAAAGCGAAAATTTACCCAGTTGAGAACATTTTTATAATCACTTCTTCGAAAAAAATTCAATACTTCGAGGAAAAAAATTTGTCTGACTAAAATTGACCTCTACTACTTGAAACTAAAATAATTTTTAATCACTTTTCTGTAAACACTTCTTCGAAAAAAAATTGAGAACTTCAAGGAAAAAAATACGTCTGACTAAAATTGACCTCTACTACTGAGACTAAAATTTATAAAATAATTTATAAAAAATTAAAATTGAAATTAAAAAAAAATTAAATTTTTCAAGGAAAGAAATACGTCTGACTAAAATTGACCTCTACTACTGAAACTGAAATAATTTACAATGACTTTTTTTAATAATCACTTCTTTAACAAAAAATTTAATGTTTCAAAGAAATACATGTCTGACTAAAATTTACCTTAACTACTGTCACTACAATAAATCAATTAAATATTTTTAGAAGCCATAAATTATATAAATAAACATCTTTTATTTATTTATTTATTTATTTAATTTGATTAAAAAAGTAAATATTCGCGAACTAAAAAAAAAATTGAAAATAATAATAATAATAATAATAATAATAATAATAATAATAATAATAATTGTCAAAACGTTATGTAACATAGAAAATATAATGTGCAATATAAAGACCAAATAAAAAATGAAACTGAAATTGAAAATCATTCAAAGAAAGTTGAAACAAATATCAAAAATAAGGAAAAATATTCTTCATTTTGTAATTGAAATTTTTTTTTAAATCTAAAGAATAAAATAATAATTTGTTAACAAATTTAATAAATATGAAGAATAAACATTATTTTTCACCGCGCAATCATGAGGAGGAGATTATTCAACAAAACTACGACTATATGTGTAGGTATAATAATAAGTAAAATTAAAATCAATTTAATAATTAATCTCTGTAAATTTTCGTTAGTTTGACTATAATGAAAACTGGTAACATAACGGAGAAAACAAACATGTCTGACTAAAATTGACCTCTACTACTGAAGCTAAAATAATTAGAATTATAAATCTAACTATTAGTCCTGATTCTAAGTATTCTAGTCCTCTGTTCGACTGGAGGAACATTTTATCACTCGTCTGACAGTAACATACTTTTACTACTAAAATTACTTTTCAATTTCTCCACTACAGTACTTTTATACTACTGAAACTAGAAGTGTTTAATTTTTATTCGTCTAACTAAAACAAAACTACTACTTTAACAAAGAAAGTGACTACAATCACAATTTTTTTTTGTTAAAATGACAAATTTTTTTTACTGTATTCGAAAGAAATATAAAATTTATCATTTATTTCACAGAAGGAATACATGGTTTCTTTCATTGTTTAATTTATTAAAAAAAAATTTAGAAATTAAATTAAAATCAAATTAAAATGAAAATTAAATTAAAATCAAATTAAATTGAAAATTAAATTAAAATCAAATTAAAATGAAAATTAAACTAAAATCAAATTAAAATTAAATTAAAATTAAATAAAAATTAAATTAAAATTAAATTGAAATTAACTTAAAATCAAATCAGTGATTTTTTATATAAATATTTGTACTGAAAAAATAATTCCATCTAAATAATTCTATTTTAATTTTCAGAATTTTGTTTTGAATTTATTTTCAATTATTTTCTCCCCTAGAAAAGTAATTGTTCTCCTCCTATTTTGTTTTACTTTTAATGGTTGGAGTACAATTTTTTTAAAACGTATTTTCTAATTTTTTATTTTCTAAAAAATTTTTTTCTAATAAAGGTGAATATTTCTGAAAAAAAAACTTTTTTCTTATAAAAGTGATTTTCTAATTTTCTTTCTTCTAATAAAGGTCATTTTCTGAAAATTTCTTTTTCTAATAAAGGTCATTTTCAAAAAAAAAATTTCTAACAATATTTAATTTTTGTAGTGACGAATTGACGATTAATAGTTATATGATTAAGAAATAAAATTCACGAAAATTTTTTAGTTCTTTAAAACAAATACTTAAGATTTCGTTAAAAAATTATAATAAAAAATTGAAATTGTGCAAATTTAAAAAAAAAAGTTTAAATAATCTACTTTAAAATTGTAATTAATGACTAAAAATTATAGGAATTTTTTCCCTAAAGATATTTAAAATTTTCTAAAAAGTGTTTTATTAATAATTGAATCTTACTTGTTAATACATTGACTATATTTTTACAATTTACAGAAAACTTTTTTTTTTATTTAATTCTTAGAATAATTAAATATAATTATTAAATATAATTAAAAATAATGAAATCTACAAACTCACCTAAATTTTTCAGTTGAATATTTCATTTCAAAATTGTGAATTATAAATGAAAATTTATCTGTAACAGAAAAAAAGAATTAAAAATTAGTTTGAGAGTGAAATACAATTTGAACAATAAAATAATTATTTTTAATATTTATTTTGTATTTAACGACAGATTTGAATAATTATTCGAAACTTTTAATTGTTAAGGAAGCTAACAAAATAATAATTTATTATATTTAAAAGCTTTTTTAAATTGAATTATTTCTAATTTCTATAAAGAATCCTATTGTTTAACACTTCTAATTATTTTCTAAAGTTTTCACAAAAAGTCTTTTTTAAATCAATTCTTATCGGATTTCAACTACCAGAATTATTAAATTATTTGAATACAAAAATAAGTAATTCATAAAATAATTAATTATTTTTAATAACTGGAACTGTACCTCTTTATTGAGTTTTTGAAATTGGGGTTAAATTTTCTTTCTCCACTTATTTTGTTATTTACAAATTAACTGTAAAACTTTTGACATAACAATTCGAACTATAAAACAAAAAATTGGAATCAAAAAACACTAACTTCACGTGAGGACGGATTATGTCGATTATTATAATATAATAATTATTTATTATTATTATTATTATTATTATTATTATCATTTTATTATTATTATTTATTTATTTAAATTTAATTTCCATTTACTTAGTTAAGAATCAATTTTTTCAATATTAAAAATTGGTATATCAACTAGTTTCATTATAGGAATATTTCTCTTGAATAGAAAAGATTATTTTCTGGAGAATGATTCGATCTCTTCATTGTTCGAAAACTAAATTTATCACAAGAATTGTAGCGCTCCTTAAAGCAATAAATAATAAAATACAATGCAACGTGGAAAATGTAATGCAACACGTACGTTGCGAACCTGAAGAAATAAATAATGAGTTTCAATACTTAGTTTGACGATCCTCATAATATATCTTTCATGATTTCGTGAAACCATGTTAAATATTAGAAACAACTACATTCACCGTCAACTATTATTATCCAATTGTTATTCATATGAAGTAGGGTAAAATAAGCAGAAAATAAATTGTTTCGTTTTATTCTCAAGAAAGAGAAAATAACCACTCGTCTTACGTTCAGTAATAGCAAATTTTCACTTTTAATATCAATTTGTATTTTGTACCATGAACGACAAGTAACAAAGACACTGAACTAGCTCCCTATGTACTTGAGAAAATAATTCTTTTTTACTGCCTTAAGAAAAAAATGTTTTTATATAAAATTATATAAAATAATTTGTAATAAATTAAAATAAAATAAAATAATTATACAAAATTATTATTATCAATACTATAATAAAAAATAAATTCAAAAAAAATGTAGGCAATTTTAAATTTAATCGAAATAATAACAACATTAGAAATAATTACAAAATGTGAATAGAAAATTAAACACTACATTTAATTACAATTTTCAAGATCAAAAAAAATATTTGCAAAAAGAATAGAGAAAAATTTCAAACCTATTATTGAGAATAAAAAAATATTCTTCATTCTGAAATTAAATAAGTTTTATCAAATCCTAATTGACAAATTTAAGAAAAATGTACAAAGGACAAATTTCGTTGTTACTTCTATCAATTGCTGGATTTTGGAGACCAATTGTTTTCTCATTTTTTGCCGCTGAATTTTTTTACACTATTTTTAGTATTCTCATGATATTTTTCGTTTATTCATTTGACATGTCTCTCTATGGGTATCTTATTCTACATGCAATTAACGATATCGACGATTTCTCCGAATCATTGTGTTGGTTCTTAATAATGTCAGTTGTTTGTGTGAAATTAACAAATTTACTATTGAAGCGCGATAAAATAATTGATTTAATAAAAATGATGGATAAACATTATTTTTCACCGCGCGATCATCAGGAGGAGGTTATTCAACAAAACTATGATCATATTTCTAGGTCAGTAAAATTATATGGTTTACAAATTTTTAAAACTATAAAAATATAAAATATTCTGTTACAAAATTAAAAAGAAGGAAAGAAAAAAATAAAATAGCAAAATTTCTGTGCCTGACTAAGAAAACTTTTGACTACTAGTGGAATATGATTTTTGTAGTTTAGGAAAAAAAATTATAGGTCTGACTAAAATTGACCTCTACTACTTAAAATAAAATAAAAAAAATTATAAAAT